CTCCTTCATCACTTTTATTTTTTCCATCGACATCAGCACCGCACCACGAACGGCTCGCCCTCCTTGCAACCACCTTGAACGACGAGCATATGGTAACTCTCTCCATCTCAACATCTTATCCATCTTTGACTTACCATGGCCTTTTGCATCATTACTCCTTTTGTTTTCTTAGTGGATCGAATGGATGGCAACGGATATAGGCTCTCTGGCACCAGGACTGGAGGGACATTTAGTTAGATTAGGGATTGGACGCAAGGGTCTCCTTTCCGTGATAGATTCCCTAGCCATTGTACTTGAAAAGTGCCCCCATTCCTTGGCCCACTCTATGTGCACACTGGTACTGGTACTTTAGGACCGCCGGTCAGCTCTGCCCTTTTCCATTCCGTAGCTCATTACACTAGATTAGTTACTCCATGGCAAGTCCTACGTATAGCTTAACTATAATCTTTATCCAGTCAATAAAACCTACTTGAAACCATCTCCATGACTTTGCTTTTTTGAATATGCTTCAGCTATCTTGAAACTCTGAAAGGCACCGATGTGGCAAGTCTTGACAGATTGCAACGCACACGAGAGTTTGAAAATGGCGGGATGTGAAATAAAGTGGATGGGCGGCTTGACTTTTTTAGGAACTTTTCGATCTCCTTGTTGTAAATTATGTAACGACCTGCCTTTTTTTCATAAACGAAATGGATAGCCCATCTTCAAATTTTACATGAAACAAGACGGAATGTATATCTATCGAAAGATACTAAACTTGGAGTATACCTGCGTCGTATGCTTCTTTAAGCTCTCCATTAAGCCCTAAAACAGCGACTGGTTCCAGCGGTCTTAATGTTGGCAATTCATCCACCCAAACCCAACACTCTTGACTTCATTCTGTAGATATAAAGCACTACTTTTTTCATGTAAAATTTGAGATATGGTATGCTATTCCTTTCATGAGAAAATCAATGACCAACAAACAGTGACACTTTCAGGGGGAATGATCCACCCATTTTTTGAAAGACGGCATTTGAAAAATCCTGCAACCAGGAACACATGGTGTTTGTAGAGATAGAGTTTCAAAGACAAAGTAGTCAAGTCGAAAAGTGAAATTATCTCGTTCATACACTTGACACAGAGTGGAGTCCGTATTGTACTGTACACAAAATCAAAGTCAAGATAGTGCAATAGCAGCGGAATCTCAGTCCTTTCGCTCAGGTTTGATTCTAGGAATCGGGATGGTAGTCATGAAGATGGTAGTCATGAAGATGGTAGTCATGGAGATGGTAGTCATGGAGATGGTAGTCATGGAGATGGTAGTCATGGAGATGGTAGTCATGGAGATGGTAGTCATGGAGATGGTTTCAAGTAAATTTTATTGAGTAAATGATGCTATGTTAAAGCTATATGGGGGAAAGGTACTGCGATTGTATGTATAGGACTTGGAATGAGTAGCCTAGTGTCATGACCAAGAGAATGAAGGAGGGGGGAGTTGACCGGCGGCCCAAAAAAGTGTCAGTGGTAGCGGGCAAAAGGGAGTATGCAGGCAAGTAGTGATGCTTAGCAGTGCAATGGCTACAGAATCTACAATGGGAAAGTGAGTACATGTCAAATAAAAAAACAATTACAAGGGCTTCCCTACGATTTTCGTAATCCCCTGAGCCCCATCCCTATTCCAAGTACATTTCCATCCAGTCCTCGTGCCAGATGACCTATATCCGTTGCCATCCAATTGGTCCCTTAAGAAAACAAAAGAAGCAATGATGCAAAAGGTAGATGTTAGTAAGACAAAAATGGACAGAATGAGGAGAAGGAAGAGTTACCCTGCGTTCGTCATTCAAGGCCGTTGTATGGAGAGCGAGTCGTTCGTGGTGCGGTGCTGATGTCGATGGGAAAAATAAAAGTGATTAAGAAGCAAAGAAGGAGCAAAAAAAAAGGTTGACGGAAAAGTTATTTCCTGTAGGCATACCGGGGGTTCAAATCCAGTGAGGCTGCACACTTCGCCACCCTCCCAGCTACCGACGGGATCGACCTATCCTTGAGAAGTTTCTACCCTCCATTCAGAAGGCCAATGATCGTCACCCTTCGGGTCTCTCCTGTAAAAGAAAAGCTAATGGATGAGTAGAAGTGGCCGGATGATTGCGAACTTGGGACATACCATTCGACGTAGACGATAGAGGAGCTTGTTTGTTGGCCATGAGCAGATCACCGTCAGGTACCTACTTCAAATTTAATGGCCTATCGATTAATCACTTGCCCCTTCAATGAAACCACCATGAAATGATTTTCTTACCTTGTCGGGTGCCGCAATCCAGTCTTTGACAAGGCCATCCTATCCTTTCCATTGATCGTGGTAGTCCGAGTCCATAGGCACCCTCAATGAGAGGACCAAAAATACAAAAAGATATGCAATGTAGTTGGATGGGAAGCGTGCTGTTGTTAGTGAAGTTAAGAAAGAAAAGAAAGGAAGAAAAATCAAAAGGGGGAGCTTTATAGTTTCAGCCCAGCATATTTCCAACTCCGCTCAAATACTTGCATATCTGTCGCTATGTTTCAAAAATACTCTCGTCTGATTGGCTAGTTTTGAAACCCCGCTGTTGAACTTTATATAGAAGCGCCAAAAAAATTTTGCATGGAAGGGTTCGTGGCCTAGGGGTATGGCGTCTGCTTTGCATGCAGAAGATCCGGGGTTCAATTCCCTGCGGATCCATTCCTTTTGCTTTTGTCCTGTATTTGTCGGTGTTTTAATACTTTGCCTTTTTTCCTTTTTAAGGCTCTCATGAAGAGTGGGCTCTATTTTGTATGTAGAACACAAAAACTTACTACTGTTACGGCTATTTTCGAGTAGTAATAGGCAATTGTGTTGTGTTTTTGTTGCTTTCATGTGTTTATACGGATGAGCACTAGACCTTTTGTGGTCAAAGTTCAATCTTTGGCACTTCCCTTCTTTTTTCTCCTTTGACATTGCTCTTCTCCCCCCCCCCCCTCACCAAAATATTGAAGATATCAGATTCTCCACCCGGATCTATTCTCTTCGCTTCTTTCTCACTCGAAACGCATGTTTCCTGGTAGCATGCAATAGATACGAGGCACGTCCATATCTTTGTCAAATTTGAATGCAGGTTGTCTATCTCATTTCTGAGAAGTAAGTCATTCTTTACAAAAAAGAAGGGCTGAGCCATCCCTTTGGAAAGAGTTTTGTTTCTCTTTTTTTCTCCCAAACTAAATGGTCAACCTGCGTTCAAATTTGGCAAGATTATGAGCGTACCTCGTATCTATTGCATGATACCAAGAAGGCCTGGTTTCATTGGATGAGCTCACTTTTTTTCGTACGTACCACTCCAATCGGTCGTTTTTTTAAGGCTTGTCCTTTTATACTATTCAGATGTGCACGTTTGTCCACTCGTCGAAAGATAAGATAAGGTAAGGCATACACAAAGACAGATTATTGGATTCAAATGATCTTTTTATTACAACAGACAGATAGATTGATTGATAGATTGACAGACAGAGAGACAGATCGGCGGAGAAAGAAAAGAAGAAAAGTTCAAACATCTCAATTGATCAAATGGTCAAGGGCGACAATGATAAGAGAGGGGGAAATGCTCTATGGATCAAGTGTTACTTCTATTTGTTGGGGAGGAGGTGATGCCATCTTTTTAGGAGCGGGTTCCTTGACAGTCTTGCAATGACAGATGTTGTCATCATCACACTCGCCGACTGAAATACCGGGAAGTGTCGTGCAGTGAAGGTTACAAAACAGATGTCCTCCAAAGGCACATAGAGCGGTAGAATCAGCGCTAACAGATACCATTTGCATCACCGCCATTACCAAAAGAACGAAGCCAGCTTGAGTTTTCATTATATGAGGGTGTAGATAATGTTGTCTGCCCAAAGTAAAAAAAATAGTGTATTTATAGACGTAGAAAACTGATATGTATATAGTCCCTGAAGAGAAAGGAGTGCCATCACAAAAAAAAAGAGCATCATGCGAGTGTGTAGTATCGGAGTTTGAAAAACACAGATTCATGCAAGAGGGGGAAGTAATGAATCGATGTCACACCACATAGAAAACTCCTGACATATAGACATCAGAGCATTCATATTGCAAAAAAAAAGTATCACTGGAAACCAAAAGTGTTACTGGTACATTGATGGATGCCCCTTGTCGACGACATGGTAAGAGGAGTTAGCACATAGGCAATAAGAAGTGAGTGAGGGCTCCTGCACAAACACACGCTACCCCTTGTAATTTCAATTCACATTGAATGAAAAGATTACCACTCTACATATGTATCGCTGATCCAGGAGCCGATTTAACGCTGCTCTTCAAAGGAAATCCATGGGTCCAGACCATATATGTCACTTATTGGTCCTAAGGGGCAAAGATCATCAGCAAGTAAGATGTAGATGCGGTATATATTGGAGTCCATGAAGTGAACCGATCCATGTTTACTTTATATCATAGGGACAGAAAGCATTCCAGTGCATGTGAGCCCCATCCATTCCAAAAAGATGATTCTTTCAAGCAGAATCACACACCATTCTTCGTTATGTTGTATGCGACCGTGAACGCTCAGTGAAGTCCCCCAAAAGCGACCAGTTGGAGTGGTATCAAAAGCAGCAAGCCATCCAAACTAATCAGATTTTCTTGGTATCAGTCGATAGATAAAAAGCACTTTTAAGTCTATGTCAAAATTGAAGTTGGGTTGCCCGTCCCTTTCACAAGAAAAATGACCTCCAAAAAAAAGTGAGACTTTTCCCAAGGGGGAATGCTACAGACAGAACCATCCGGACAGAACCAGCCTGCGTATCCTGAATCTTGCTGACAATAAGGACTTATTTGGCAAGGAAATCTCTGAGTCCCTGACTTCAGTCCCGTTCATAGATGGGACTCAACTTGAAATGAAGATAAAACCGCCCCTGCCCACACACTCCTCCAACCATGTGTGCCTATGCACTCCAGATTTCAAACCCCGATCGGCTATAAGATACTTTTTTTGCTTGTCCTATTATTTTGCTCTTTCTTCCCCTCGTCGTTACTTTTTTGCCTCCAATGTCATTCTCTTTACTCCACGACGTCAAACGAACGAACGAACGAGCAAACGAACGAGCGAACGGTAACTCTCCTCTTCTCACGTCAGTTCATCTTTTGCTTACCACTACTAACTTCTTGCCTTTTGCATCGTTCCTCTTTCTTTTGACACTAGATCGGCTACGACGATGACGACGGCAATAGGAACGACGACGATGCTAATGACGACTCCACCACTGCTTCATGTCGCCCAAAAGGCTCTTTTTAAAATTTTCAAATGTATAAAACGTGGGGAAACCCTCGCAATTTTTTTTTTTAGGTGCACTCCCATTCCATTGTAGAATCTCGTAGTCCAAGTTACTAATAAAAGTGTACCAATTCTTTGCCCCTATCCTTCCGCTGCTATCTTTGACACTTTCACACAGCTTGGCCGTCTTTGTCCGCCTCCATTTGGTTGACTTTTACAGTAGCTTAGTCATTCTCATTACAACCCGTCGCCATTTACCAATTAGCTTAATTCCGGCCTCAAACATAGTCTGTACCCTAGCCCATTGATCCTATTGTACCAATAAAACTTTGTATGTATGCGAAGATGACTTTACGATAATGCACATGTCATTAGATTCATTACAACTAGTAAACCAGTGGTGTTTTAGGAGTTGTCAATGATGAGCTACTCGTCTGTAGTTTGGTTTTTATAATGTACATGATATTGTCATGATTGTGGATTTGAGAAACGTCTTTCGTAGGATGATTCAAGTAGGCTTTATTGAAGGGATAGGACTAAAGGGGTATGGTACAGGCTATGTTTGGGGTCGTAGTTAAGCTAGTGTCTAATGGCAACAAGCTAATGTAATGGGAATGACTAAACTGCTGTAAAAAGTAAGCAAATGGAGGTGGACAAAAACGGCCATGCTGTGTAAAAGTATCAGTGATAGTAGCGGAAGGGTATGGGCAAAAATTTGGTCTACTTTTATTAGTAACTTGGACTACGAGATTTTACAATGGAATGGGAGTCTACCTAAAAAAAAATTGCGAGGGTTTCCCCATGTTTTTTACTTTTGAAAATTTTAAAAAGAGCCTTTTTGGGCGACATGAAGCAGTGGTGGAGTCGTCATTAGCATCG